GTTGATGTAGAGAAGGAAAAGAAAAAAGAAAGTGAAAGTGAAGAGTGAAATGGTGAAAGCGGGAAGAGGGTGGAAGAGGGAGAGGTGTGTAATATGAAATGGTGTGTAGTGTAGTGTAGTGTAGTGTGGTATAAGAACAAGGTCTGAAAGAGGGGCAGGGATGCAGTCACGGATATTTAACAGCTCCATTCCGACCAAACACTGTCACCTTTACCACTGCCATCAACAAGGCCTCCCATAGGGCCAGAATCAATTCCTCTTCCCTATAACTCTTATCTCTTGTCTCCCTATGTGCTGAGATATGGAGGAAAATCTGTTCAAAATTTTGCAACACGACACCGCTTGGGTGCTTCCCTAAGCTCGTTTGCCCAAGACCAATAGGGTATTAACCAACCCAACCCTATTCTGCTTCCACTCTCGTTACTACATTACATAAGCGTAAAAAGGAGCTCAATTAGCAAAAAGGCAAAAGTGCTGTGTGGAGAGAGAGAGAGAGAGAGAGAGAGAGAGAGAGAGAAAAAGGAAAAGAGAGAGAGAAATGGGTTAGGCTGAAAAGGGTCTTGCTATAACATTGTTGGTTTGGTTAAGTTTAGTTTGGTTTGGTTTAGTTTTGTGGTGATGGAAGTGGGAAAATTCAATGGCATGAACTTTTTTTGGAAGACACAGAAGCCAGTTTCAGAGTTGTGGCAGTTGCACGACCAACAAAGCTGGGAGTGCAAAGAATCATCATCGACCCATTAGGAATAAGTGCAAAGCTTCGTAAAAAGCTGGAAGAGGAAAATCCCAACACCAGCATCAACACCGGCAAGGGTCTGACTCTGGATCCTCACAGGAATTTCCATCATCATCATCATCGTCGTCAGCATCTTCATCATCTTCAGCTTCAGCATCAGACTCATCATCAAAATCTGGTGTTCAACACAGGCCACGTAACAACCGAGGAAGAAGAAGGAGGAAACCAAAACCAACAAGACCAGCAACCTCATCCTCTCCGATTTCTACACCGTCAACAACGACAAGATGAAGAACCGTCTTACACAGGTTTAGACACGGAGCTCTTAAACCCACTTCAACTTCCGAAGAAACGGTCTTCCCTCCCTCCTCTTCCACCACCGCCTTCGTCGCTTACTTCAACCGAACATGCGAGAAAGATGGGGGAATCACAGAACCACCATCTCCATCACCAAGCACCAACTCCGTCTAGATCGGCCATGAGAGCCGGCGGCGGCGGGGGCGAGATCGTGGAGGTTCAAGGCGGCCACATTGTCCGCTCCACCGGGCGGAAGGACCGTCACAGCAAGGTCTGCACTGCCAAAGGCCCCAGAGACCGCCGTGTGCGCCTGGCAGCTCACACGGCCATCCAATTCTACGATGTCCAGGACCGCCTCGGCTATGACCGCCCCAGCAAGGCGGTGGACTGGCTAATAAAAAAAGCCAAGACCGCCATCGACGAGCTCGCGGAGCTCCCTCCATGGAACCCCACGGCCACGTCAATGCAACCGCCGCAGCAGGAGGAAATCGCCCTCCGCGAGAACAAGTCTCTCGCTGTAGAACAAGACCCGACAGCGTTCGGCAACCGTGGCGAGAGCAACGTTGTCGTCGCCGCTACCAGAGTTCCGGACCAATTCTCTCACCAACAGTTGGAGAGTGAAAATGCTAACATTGGCACCAGCAAGTACAACAGTGGTCCTGGTTTTCTGCCACCGTCTTTGGATACTGATAACATTGCTGAGACAATCAAGACTTTCTTTCCCGTCGAAGCTACCACGACGTCGTTTCAGAGTTACCCTCCGGCGCCACCGGATTTGAGGCAGCAAGATCTGCGTTTGTCGTTGCAGTCCTTTCAGGACCCTATCATGCTTCAGCACCAGCCTCAGAGCCACAACGAGCCGGTGCTATTCGCCGGAACGGCGCTCGGCTTCGACGGCGGTTCCGCCTGGTCGGAGCACCAGAACCACCACTCGGAGGAGCACAGGTTGCTCTTTGGTGGCAACAGTGGCCACGGCGGTGGGTTTGTGTTCAACACTCCGGCGCCGGCGTTTGGCCAATTTTTTTCTCAGAGGGGACCCCTTCAGTCCAGTAACACCCCTTCGGTTCGTGCTTGGATAGACCCTTCGGTCGATCACCACCATCACAACCATCACTACTTCTCGCCGCTGATCCACCAGGGCTCCGTCGCCGGAGGCTTCTCCAACGGCGGTGGATTCTCTGGCTTTCGCATTCCAGCACGAATTCAGGGTGAAGAGGAGCACGACGGCGTATCCGACAAGCCGTCCTCTGCTTCCTCCGATTCTCGTCATTGATTTCAAAAACACAAAAGATCCCAACTTTGTTCTTCCTGAGGTTCTTTCTCACGACCCAATTCTTAAAATCTCAATAGTATTCCTCCTTTTTCGTTTCTCTTACTCAGTATTTTTTGTTGATGTTATTTTAGGGCTTGTGGGTTGCACTGAAGATGACTCAGTTGATAAAGAGAACATGCTTTTGGAATATTAGGTTGAATGAATTTTCAAGCTGCAAAGGGAATTCAAGAGAGTTGGGTTTGGATCTCTAGATGTGTTGATGTCAATGGCCTATGCCGTGGGAATGAAGAAAATTTGAGACAGATATTCAGGTCTTCGCATCCCTCGGTATTTTGATGTTTTATGTGTTTTTCGTGCTCAATAACTAGGACATGCAGTGCTGTGTTTCTTTGGTTTCATCTGTATTTGATGATTGCTATTGCTATGTTTTCCCTTTGTTTGTGACTTCGTCATCTCTGTATTTCTTTCGTTTCTACTTTGTTGTAGTGATATGAAAAACATTCTCACTGAATAAAAGAACTAGCTTGCTCTTAGTTGTTGTATATTTCCTAGTTAGTGCAGACCCAGATGCAGAATAATGGGTTCTCTCCATGACAAAACAGGGTAAAACAAAATAAGCCGACACAGGAATCTTGCTTGGATTTGTTGGCATGGTAAGTGTGAATGTTGTTCTGTTGTTTGAAATGAGAGAAAAAGGATGGTCTTTTATTGGAAGTAATCATATTTTCTCACAACACTTTTTAAGATTTATTTTTTTCTTTCTATTTGTCTATCGTATCACTTATTTCTTGTAATCTGATGGTTGTAGAAAGTGCAGTGAAAAAGAAATGTAGGAACATGATTACTGTTTCATTGATTCCTAAGTTGTTATATGAAGGAAACGAAAGAGGGTTCTCTTTGCATTAGAATGATTGTTGTTTTGTTCCTTTTTTTACTACTTTCTCGTGCAACCATCCACCCGTCACTAGACACTAGCTTCCTCATCTTCAAAAACAATTGGAAAGAAATCTACAGCTCCATTACACCTTTCTCTGTCTTGCTTCGAATTTGGGAGCATTTGACTGAGAAGTCATTATCGATGAACAGTAGATAAACTGTTGACAAAGGAGAAAGGGTTGCTTGAAGCTGATTTTGATTCCGAGCTTGGTAAAAAGGCAAATATCCTAAATTCAGCATGGTTTGCTGCTTTTCCTTTCACATGTCATAATTGTGGTTCTTCAGCTAGTTTAGTATGCTATGACAGCGACTGAAAGCTTGATTAGGAATATAAAAGTTAACGTGATAAAGGAAAACATCCGCAAGTCATCTTTGATGACCCACTCACCTACCAGCTTAGTTAATGCAGAGAGTGAAATGAAAAAAAAGAAGCTTTAAATTCTAGTAGCAAGGTTTTCTACCATCCAATTTTGAACCACACATCTTTCCTTCTAGAAAAATATCAGGTGTTTTCTTTTGGGTTTTCAGCCTTACAACAGTAACATGAGGTAATGGCAGAAGTCCATCATGACTCATGATTTGAGTAGTTAAATTCCAATAGGTAAGAACAAGTGGGAAAAGTAAAAAACAACATCTGCAGGGGAGCCATGAAAAGGAGAGGGTGATTGATGAGCACAACCAAGCTCAATTATGAAAGAGTTCACTCTCATGGTACCACTAAAGTGTCATACTTCTACACCTGTCTGTGGTCCCCTACCTTCCAACCAAGCAAATCTCACAAACCTCAAAAGATCTTTCCTAATGTTTTTAACCACCTTCTTCAAGGGGTAATCTAAAATATCATAATAAAAAAACACAACTTTTGCCTCTCGTGCAATTGTTTTTCCCTTCTTAATGCGGCTGCTAGTCGGTTGATTACATCAAAAACAACATTGTAGTGGGTCATCAACTCATCGTACATCATACAACTCATGTTACTATATGTGGAAAGTGGCAAGTATTTAATGAATATGACACCACAGAGATTCACCGCCATGTTTTTCTTAATTTAAACCACTGGAAATCATCATCCGATCGTATTAAATTAATGCACAAGAGACTTAATTACGCCTCTCCAAATCAGAGAAACCACAGCTACTGAAATATGACAATTGGGTGTTTTATCTTCTAAGAAAAAGATAAACTTTATCTGATCTAAGTCGTGTATCAGTAGTACTACATGACCGTAGAGTTTGTTTTGGCCAACTTTCAAAAAACAAGTTTTACAGAATGGTCCGAAAATGTTATTTTAACCTAATTCAAGGTTTTAAAAATCATATTAGACATTATCAATGTTATATTAACACTCCAAAATCCAAAATCCATTAATCATAAAATAACGTAATATGAAAAAGGGTGAAATGAAGGAAAAAAAGAAAAAAATACAGTGATAAGGGTAGTTTAGAAATGGGAGGTGATGAAATTGATTAATGAGCAGAGATGACAGAAGAGACAGCGTGGGTTATTTGGCTAGATTGTTGTTAGACAGATCTGGAATGTTGTTTTCTTTCCCTTTCGGAGTTTCCTTTGTATTTGACAACTCAGAATTAGACAATGGGACTTTGCTGTCAGTGGTTTTCGTTGTGATGGGGTCAGGAAAACGAACCCGGATTTGCCATGGACGAGCTGCTACCCATCTCTCCTTCCAGCTCCAACCCCAGCTTTCTTTGCCAACGCTGTAGATAGCCTGGCCCAAATACTGCCTGCAATTGGGCCTCCACTGAAATATGCTGTGTGGGGTCAAATTTTTTACTTTTCATAAAGGAAAACAAAAAATGTTTGACTTTAATATAAAGAGAAAATAAAAATAAAAATAAAAATGGATGAAGAACGTTTAACACCAAAAAAATTCCGACCAATTTAAATTTAGATCTAGTTCATGTAAGAAACACGCAAATGTTGAAATTTTCTTAGGAAAAAGAGATTAAACATCCTTTTCAATGGAAAAAATCTAAGACTTTGTAGTTTATTATTATTTTTTTTTATGTTACTTGATTTTTTTCATTTATAATCAATGTGGAATATGTTTGTTGATAAAATAAAACCAGATATCACTGTTGGTGAGGTACACTAGAAAAATTTACTACTTCTAAAATATGAATCGTCTATATAAAAAAACTTAATACTATCTTAAACACAAAAATATTGAGATTTAATGTTCGTAGATGTTTTTTTCTTCTTTTATGATACTTAATTTTCTGATTTTTACTTAATGTAAAACTTTTAACTTATACTTAATTTCTAATATTATGCTCATGTTACAATATATTAATATGGTGTGATGAAAGTCTTTAAATTAAATTATGAGTGTTGCATAAAACAATAACCTTTAAAAATAAAAAATAAATTTTTAAAACGAATAATACATTTTAGATCACCAAAATTAAATCGATATTTAATTATGGTAATTAAAATAACGATTTAAATTTTCAAAAATTAAATAAAAAATAGAAAACTTGGAATCTTACGAGCAAACTTATAAGAGTTGTTTAAAAACGATAGAACACACCTAAGTGAAAAAAAATTGCTTTATAAAAGAAAAAATAAAATAAAATATTCTAAATTAGAATTATAATAAAGTTTCTATAAAAATGATATAGGTATGGGAAAAATTCTTTTTTTTTTTCTTCTCTTATAAATACTTATGCAGATATTTGTTGATAACTTTAAAGATGATTAAATTAGGCATAGCAGAGGTTTAAATAACGGACTATGCTAGGGGTGCAGCTGTAGTGTAGTGGAACAAATAGTAGCCACTTGAAAATCTATATGTTTATTTTGGAGTTTTCTTTTTTCTTTTTAATAAAATCTTCTTATAATCTTGGAAGAGTAATTTTGGGGTTTTTATGTTGAAAATTGAAATCTGTAAATATAATAATAAAAGTAAAAATGAAGAATTGCGTTTAGATAGGTGATGATTGATAATTTTTAATTAAGAATGTTATTAATTATTTTGTAATGTGTAGAATTTGCAAGTATATATAATATTTATAAACTAAAAAATGACGTCAATTTCATATTTGGATGGCTAGGGGTGGTAGAGTTTGGTAAGATTTGGACAATCCTATAATCTTCTAGCCCTGCACCTCCCACTTCTCTTCTTACACTCAATAATACTTATAAATATTAAATTATTCCTCATTAAAATTATAATAAAATGTTAGAATGTTTATCTTCACCTCCTCAATTTTTTAATCCAAAAAATATATTTCAAATTCTATAATATGAAATACATTTAAAAAACATATATTTTGAATAGTATAATTTAAAATATATTTTCAAATTTAGAATTATATTCTAGATTATCTAATTTTGAATTTCATTTTAGATTCTACAATCTAAAA